ACTGGCTCCATCCCCACCTCTTTGACCTGTCTGTCTCCTCTCCACCTATCTTCTCCTCTATCCATCTTCTATCTGCCTCCCCCTCTCTCCCTATTTATTTCAGAACCCCCTTCCCCTCCCCCATTTCTGATGAAGGGTCTGGGCCCAAAACGTCAGCCTTCCTGCTCCTATGATGCTGCTTGGCCTGCTGTGTTCATCCAGCTCTACACCTTGTTATCTCAGATTTTCCAGCATCTGCAGTTCCTACCATCTCTGATACAATTTTAACCCCACTGCGAAGCCTCTTCTAAGGATGCCTATCCTGAAGAAGTTACCCTCCTCCCTCCGGACAAACCTCAGGGGATCTCTCTCCCACTGCAACTCTCTCGTAATCTCTTCGGCCTTGAAACTGCTCGACCATGTCCTGAAGGAAACCAGGTACTACAGCCATATCACCTTTCTTAGTACCTGCCTACGGAACCAGATCATCCCCAATGGACTACAGTCCACATTCAGGCCTTCCCAATTTGACCTCAACCGTGACAATGTCTCCATTCATAGCATGGAGATCCTTCAGAAGCGTTTCTCCCTGCGACTCCTGAAACACACGCTCGCAGCAATGCACCAGCATCTCCTGGCACTACAATCAAGCCTACCCCAGCTCAGAGCCTCCCTCTCCCAGACCTGCAAAGGACCTTTTCTGTTTTTTATTCTTCGTAGGATCCACAACCTGAACTCACAATTCTACTCAGCTTTATTGGACACTAAAAACCGTAAGTACAGTAAACTTACTGGTGCCTACCACCCAAAACGGGCTTCCTCCACCTCCCAAATCCGCAGCTGTACCCAGGACCTTCCCCACAATGTGCCCTCCACCACTGGCCATGACGCCACTGTCGGGGAACCCACAGATGACGTCACATCCGCCAATGCCGGGTAGCCCACTTCTGGGACAGCGAACGCCATCGCTGCTGATGCCACCGCCTCCATTTCCGAGGCCAACACCACAGACACTGAAGACACACCTACCATCACCCTGCCGCCGCCGCCTACCCCACTCTGCCCACCGCTGACGCCTCTCCGCCCATCACCGACGCGGACACAACTCCGCCCACCACCGCCGACGCAACCCCGCCCACCGCCAACGCCGATGCAACCCTGCCCACCACCGACGCTGACGCAACTCCGCCCACCACTGCCGACACAACCCCGCCCACCGCCGACACCAACGCAACTCCGCCCACCGCCTCCACAGCCAGCAGCTCCAGTGGAGACAGCAACACTCAGCCCTGCCGAGTCTTCACCATCCCCCCAGACCTCCCCCTTACTGATGACGAACGGTCAGTCCTCAGTGAAGGGCTCACTTTTGTCCCCTCCACCCACACATCAACGAATACCGGTCACGTTTGTACATTGAGCAGTTTTTCCGCCGCCTCCGCCTCCACGCTTACTTCTCCAACCATGAACCTAACCCTCCCTCTACTGACCCCTTCTTCCGCCTCCAACACACCCCCTCCTCCTGGACACCACCCCAAGGCCTCCTACCCACCCTCGACTTCTTCATCTCCAACTGCCGTCGAGACATCAATCGCCTCAACCTCTCCATCCCTCTCACCCGCAGAATGTGCAGCCCCATGCTCCAATCCCAATCTCACCATAAAACCCGCGGACAAGGGAGGCGCAGTTGTAGTATGGCGCACTGACCTCTACATCGCCGAGGCCAGATGCCAACTCTCCGACACCTCCTCCTACTGCCCCCTTGATCGTGACTCCACCCCTGAGCACCAAACCATCATCTCCAAAACCATCCACAACCTCATCACCTCAGGTGACCTCCCACCCACGGCCTCCAACCTCATCGTTCCCCAACCCCGCACCGCCCGCTTCTATCTCCTTCCCAAAATCCACAAACCTGACTGCCCTGGTCGACCCATTGTCTCCGCCTGCTCCTGCCCCACCGAACTTATCTCCACCTATCTCGACTCCATTTTCTCCCCCTTGGTCCAGGAACTCCCTACCTACGTCCGTGACAACACCCACGCCCTCCACCTCCTCCAAAACTTCCAATTCCCCGGTCCCCAACACCTCATCTTTACCATGAACGTCCAGTCCCTGTACACCTGCATTCCCCATACAGATGGCCTAAAGGCCCTCCGCTTCTTCCTGTCCCGCAGGCCCGACCAGTCCTCCTCCACTGACACCCTCATCTGCTTTGCCGAACTCGTCCTCACCCTCAACAACTTCTCTTTCAATTCCTCCCACTTCCTACAGGCAAAGGGGGTGGCTATGCCTGCCTCTTTGTAGGTTACGTGGAACAATCCCTCTTCCGTACCTACACTGGCCCTAAACCCCACCTCTTCCTCCGTTACATTGATGACTGTATCAGCGCCACCTCGTGCTCCCACAAGGAGCTCGAACAGTTCATCCACTTCACCAACACCTTCCACACCAACCTTAAGTTCATCTGGACCATCTCTAACACCTCTCTCACCTTCCTGGACCTCTCTGTCTCCATCTCGGGCATACACCTAGAAACCGATATCCATTTCAAGCCCACTGACTCCCACAGCTACCTAGAATACTCCTCCTCCCACCCACCTTCCTGCAAACATGCCATCTCCTATTCCCAATTCCTTCGCCTCCGCCGCATCTGCTCCCAGGATGAGGCATTCCACTCCCGTACATCTCAGATGTCCTCGTTTTTCAAGGACCGCAACTTCCCCCCCTCAGTTGTCGAGAACACCCTCAACCATATCTCCCGCCATATCCCACAACTCATCCCTCACACCCTGTCCCCGCAATAACAACCAAAAAAGAATCCCCCTCGTCCTCACGTACCACCCCACCAATCTCCGGATCCAACGCATCATCCTCCGACACTTCCGCCATCTGCAATCCGACCCCACCACCAAAGACATTTTTCCCTCCCCACCCTTATCTGCTTTCCGGAGGGACCACTCTCTCCGTGACTCCCTAGTCCGCTCCACATTCCCCTCCAGCCCCACCACACCCGGCACTTTTCCTGACACCTGTCCCCACACCTCCTCCCTCACCCCCATCCCAGGCCCCATGAAGACTTTCCACATCAAGCAGATGTTCACCTGCACATCTGCTAATGTGGTATACTGCATCCGTTGTACCCGTCGTGGCCTCCTCTACATCGGGGAAACCAAGCGGAGGCTTGGGGACCGCTTTGCAGAACACCTACACTCGGTTCGCAATAAACAACTGCACCTCCCAGTCGCGAACCATTTCAACTCCCCCTCCCATTTCTCAGACGACATGTCCATTCTGGGCCTCCTGCATTGCCACAACGATGCCACCCGAAGGTTGCAGGAACAGCAACTCATATTCCGCTTGGGAACCCTGCAGCCCAATGGTATCAATGTGGATTTCACAAGCTTCAAAATCTCCCCTACCGCATCCCAAAACCAGCCCAGCTCGTCCCCGCCTCCCTAACCTGTTCTTCCTCCCACCTATTCCCTCCTCCCACCTCAAGCCCCACCCCCATCTCCTACCTACTAACCTCATCCCGCCCCCTTGACCTGTCCATCCTCCCTGGACTGACCTATCTCCTCCCTACCTCCCCACCTACACTCACCTTTACTGGCTCCATCCCCGCCTCTTTGACCTGTCTGTCTCCTCTCCACCTATCTTCTCCTCTATCCATCTTCTATCTGCCTCCCCCTCTCTCCCTATTTATTTCAGAACCCACTTCCCCTCCCCCATTTCTGATGAAGGGTCTAGGCCCGAAACGTCAGCCTTCCTGCTCCTCTGATGCTGCTTGGCCTGCTGTGTTCATCCAGCTCTACACCTTGTTATCTCAGATTTTCCAGCATCTGCAGTTCCTACTATCTCTGTGTTTATGGGATGTTACTATATTGGAACAGTTAATTAGTAGTAGTTAATATGTATATTAGTTTGTTCAGCATTTCAATAGAGTTACAGGTGAGCCAATTCTTTTCTTTTTATTTTGTCTATATTTTAACTTGTGTAAAAATAAAGTATGTTTCGCTTAAAGTCGATAGTTTGACCATTCAAATTGTATCAAAATTAGGGTCCAGACTATCTGCTTAATATATTTTGAGGGGGTTTGGTCTGGTCCAAAACAGATCTCACCTGATTCCATTTTATTCTGGAAGGTATCGTTATTACTTGTATATCCAACCCGAAGTGATATTCCAAGTTTATGCATGAATGTACATTGCTCCACCTAGTGGTAGTACTGGCAACGGCGCAACCTTCCAAATTATACCAGTCTGCCAAGACTTTGTACTTGGGGAGAAAAGACCATAATTTTCCGGTCTATTTACTGATCTTGTTCAAGTTCTGATTGCTTTTGTACAGGATCATGTTCGTGGATTTTTTTGTTTCCTTTTTCCAACATGCTACCCAAGTTGTAATTCTGGTTCTTATTTTTAGGTGGCCGTATCACATTACATGATACACAAAGTAGGGAGTTGATGGTGATGTATCAGTAATGTCACCGGACTAATAATCTGGAGGTCTAGCTAGTGATTTTGGGTCATGGGTTCAACTCCCATCATGGGTATAATTTAAATTCAATTAATAAAATATGGAATTGAAAGCTAGTCTCTAATGCTAACAATGACTATCATGGACTGTTGTAAAAATCCATCTGATTGATTAATGTCTACGATCCCTAACCAATATGACCTACATGCGCCTCTGGACAACTGCAATTTGGTTGGCTCTTCATTGTCCTCCGCAATGAATTGGCAAGCCAGTCAGTTCAAGAGAAATTAGGGATAGAGACAAATGCTGCCTTGCCAGCAATGCCCACATCCCAAAGATTTTAAGTGCTAGTTCTTGTTAGCTTCATCAGTTAAACCTTTAAGTCCAAGCCTGAACCGACACATTTTGTCAATCCATTCTAAAAACTGTCTTCACTTGCAGGATCCATAGCCCTCTACCCTCTTCCGATTCATGTATTCCTCCAGGTGTTTCTTGAATTATTGTAATATAAACAAACACTTCAGATCCGCAAACTACAAAAATTCTAAGTGATCTTTATGATCATTTTAGAGGTTCATAGAAATTGATATTCACAATTTTATGAATTACTCTTGCATGTGTTCTTACCCTAGATTTTGTTGTTGAAATCTCCGCCTTGAGAATGTCAGGGTCATACTTAGTACTAGACGAAGAGCCAGAAAACACTGTAAACAACCATAAAAGTATTCAAACATGCATAGTTTGGCTCTTAGAAGCCTCATTCATAACACAAATAAATAAATAGAATAATACATACATTTGAAAATGCATGTGCAAACTAATGGACATGGAAGCTTAACATAGTAAAAAAAGTTACCAATTTTGGTTTTAAAACATGGTATAATTCAGTGAATCCCTATCTAAAAAAATTAGAACTTGTTCCACATAATCAAATATCCAAATAACTTGTAAATTGATTATCAATGTGGAAGTTCATTAAGTAGAATCAAGGAACTGCAGAAAAGCTTAACAAGGATATTGCCAGGGTTGGAGGGTTTGAGCTACAGGGAGAGGCTGAATAGGCTGGGGCTTTTTTCCCAGAACGCCGGACACAGAGAGGTGACCTTACAGAGGTTTATATAACCATGACGGGCATGATTAGGGTCAATAGCCAGGGTCTTTTCCAAGAGTAGGATAAGTCCAAAACTAGAGGGCATAGGTTTAAGGTGAAAGGGGAAAGATTTAAAAGGTAACCAAGGGGCAAATTTTTCATGCTGAGGTGCATGTACAGAATGAGCTGCCAGAGGAAGTGGTAAATTACAACATTTAAAATGCATCAGAATAGGTATATGAATAGGAAGGGTTTAATGGGAGGTGGGCCAAATTCTGGCAAATGGGACTAGATTAATTAAGGATAAAAGGTTTGTTTCTGTGCTGTACAACTCTATTACTCTAATTCTTTAAAATAATAAAACAAATTGAGACATTGGCTACAAAGAGTGAGGGGAGAATTTTAACTGCCAAGGAGGCATGAGTTAGCGACGGTAAACACCAGGAAATCCTGCATATCAGAATCCCAACATGATCTCAAACGCTTCCAACAGTTAGCTTTTTAAGGCATGAAGAAAATTCACATGGAGTTGTTAGGTCCATAATTTAAACATGTAAATTCCCATTTTGCTCTGCTTTTAACCCACCATAGTAGCTTTACCAGTGTTTGCGTTTCCAGAAGGTTCTTCTAGCACAATGGTAGTATCCCTAAGCCTGTGTCAGAAGGTCCAGCTTCAAGTCCCTCCTGCCCCAGATGTGTGCCATAACACATTTGATTAAAAATATCATACCAAGTTTCCAGAGGATCTAGTTGCACAGTGATAGCGTACCTATGTCTGGGCCAGATGGTTTAAATTTCACCTGCCCCAGAGATATGTCATAGCATGCCTCAACACATTGGTTAAAATAATTATGAGTTTCCAAAGAGTTTTGTATTGCAGTGGTAGTGCACCTATCTCTGGTTGAGAAGATCTGGGTACCAGTGTCAACTCCCCTGATATATTTCATAGCAGGTTACTTGAAATAATTAAAAGTTTCCAGAGCCAAATTTAACTTCCTAGAATCAATAAAGCTAAAACTCAACAGGGAGTATTTCCTTTTATTCATTCTTTTAGGGGATGTGGGGTTCACTGGCTAAGTTTGCTCACTGGCATTTTGTTGCTCAATTTATTGCTCAATTGGACTTGACAAGCTGGAAAGCCTTCTGAAATGACTAAAACAGCAAAGCAGCTTCACTGCCTTTGTAAAATCTTTGTGCTCACAGGACTTGAAGAGTGTGACTTCATAGCTTTACATGTTTTGGAAGTCATTTTGTCTATCTTGAATATTGTCCAACTTGAACTTAATCCCTGTTATCTGCAATTCCCTACTGTAAGCCTTCACCAACCACTGAAGCAATGCAGCCATTACACAGACCTTATATGAGGAACAAGATGAACAGAATTACCAAGATCAACAGCACAGGAGCAGCACCAATATCCACAGCACCAGCTACAAGAGCAAATGCCATCATGCGTACACCACTTGCGCCTTCACAGCAGGTCTTTGCTGACACCTGCAGCCTTTAGGAAGGAGGCCATTTTCTCCTTTGCGAAGAGGGCTAGGTGAGCATGCGTTACCAATGACCATCAAGCTCACTGCAGTCTGAATTCCTTCAACTTGTTCCTACCAGGAATCTGCTAGTGACATCTGTAGAATGTTAAAATTTGTTGCCCACAAATCTATCTCCCATGAAACCAATTTGTGTTTCCCAATACCGACACTTATATCCATATGAATACTACTGCTGAGGCTAGTCAGGGCAGAGGGTTCCTGCATTTAATGCAATGGCAGTCCTACAGACTGCACATATGAAAACCAAGATGCCCTCAATTCAACCTGTAATATTGGTGGTACAGAATAACAGTTATAATGAAATCCCAGCTGATTCAGCTAATTACAGAAATGTTCTGAACAGGAAGAAAAAGAAATAACATGCCACTCTATTTCTATTAGCATGTTTGCTTGATTATCTGAAGGATTTATCAATTGGAAGGGATTCTACTCCATCGAAATCTCCTAATACGTGACCACCAGAAAATTTATGAGATCATGGAAGATCTGTGGCCTAACTCCATGTATCTGTCTTGGCCCATATCCCTTAATACCTTTGCTTAATAAAAAATTATCTATCTCAGATTTAAAAATAACAACTGACCTAGCATCAACCGTCATTTGAGGAAGACAGTTTCAAAAGTCTACCACCCTTTGTGTGTCGAAGTGCTTCTTAATATCTCTCCTGAATGGTCTGGACCTAATTTTTAGACTATGCCCCCAAGTCCTAGAATTCCCAACCAGTGGAAATAGTTTATCTTTACTTTTTGTCTTTCCTGTTAATATCTTTGATCAGAACACCCTTAACCATCCAAATTCTAGAGAAAACAGACATAATTTGCATAATCTCTCCTCGTAACCCCTGAAATCCAGGTAAATTATCATTCTTCTAATCCTACATAGTACTCCAATATATCCTTCCTAAGTAAAAACCGAAAGAACTGCGGATGCTGTAAATCAGGAACAAAAACAAAGTTGCTGGAAAAGCCCAGCAGGTCTGGCAGCATCTATGAAGGAAAAAAACAGAGTTAACGTTTCGGGTCCGGTAACCCTTCCTCAGAACTGATGGTGGCTGGGAAAACGTCAGTTTATATGCAGAAAATAGGGAGGTGGGTGGGGTACAGAGTGAACAACAGGATAGAGCCCAAAGAGAGAGAAAGACAGTTGGACAGACAAAGGAGTTGCTAACGATCAGGCTGGGAGGGTGAAAAGTTGTTAATGGGGACTGTTAGTGACTAACAACAGGGGGTGTGTATTGGCAGGCTATGTGGTAACAAGGCCTGGTGTGTGGGGTAGGGGGCTGGGATATGGAAGAGTTTAGGCCCTAAAATTATTGAACTCAATATTGAGTCCGGAGGGCTGTAGGGTGCCCAAGCGGAAAATGAGGTGTTGTTCCTCAAGTTTGTGTTGGGCTTCGCTGGAACACTGCAGCAAGCCTTCCTAAGGTATGGTGCCCAGATGTGCTCACAGTACTCCAGGTGGGGTCTAAACAGGGTTTTGTATAGCTTCAGCATAACTTTTGTGTCCCTATACTCCAGTCCTCTGGATATAAAGGCCAGCATTCTATTAGCCTTCTTTATGAATTTTTTTTCACCTGTTCATCTGTTTTCTTCTGCTCCAGCTCCAGTATCATCCCTGACAGATCTTTGGCATGAATTAGAACTGACATGAGGTAAGGGTTCAAAGTCAAGATGACAGGTGCTGGTGATTTCATATCTACATAAATGAATTTGGGGAACAAATAGCAATGGGATATCTAAATCTGTCACCAATATGTGGAAGACCTTTCTGCTTCCCCACCCCAATCTGTTCATCACCAGTGTTCACAAACCCTGCTACTTGTCAATCTCAAAGGCCTCTTCTTCTGACTGGCTGAGAGTTGTGGGTATCCAACAATTCTCTGTCCCTCTCTAAGGTTATACACATTCTTCTCCTTAAATGACAGAAAAAAGAAGAGATGAGTGCATGTAAGAAATGGAATGGTTAGACAGGACAGAAAGACAACATTTGTAAAGGTTGTAAGGAATTGGTCTGAAATAGCAGTCAGGTCACATGAAGGAGTGTCTCAAAACAGAAGAGTAATGAATGAAGACACACAGATGTGATATTCTGATGACCTCTGCTCAAGAAAACGCTGGGGGAGTTAGTGTGCCAGTTAGAGGTTGATACTTAGAAGTATTATACCTCTCAACTTTCTGGCCATTATGGTTCAATTGAATCAGTTGCAGTACTGAGTCCAGATTTTGGGGACCACACTCCTGTAACCACAACTTCCAACCACACATGTTAACTGTTTATTCTGCGAGGCTACAGACTTTCTACCAGAAACAGCACCTCTCTGTAAATCTTTTCAGCCTCCAAACAATCCTCCTGAAAGAAGAAGTCATCTTGTCATTTTCATTCAGAGATGACAGAGCCAATGTGGAATGCAATCACTCTGATGCCCTGTGATGTCCCACTAAATAGAATGCTTTGCATTGACAAATGTGAGTTGTCACACACAAATTTTGAGATTGGATGTGAAGTTTTAAGGCACATGCTAATGCCGTGGCTGAGCTAAACAACCAAGGCAAAACCCACTGGTACAATGATCAAGTTACCAACTGGCTGCTAGACGCACCAATGAGAGCAGGTCAATTCCATGAAAATTCTGAGTTTCAGAGCAGAGAACTTCCATACCTTAAACTTTACCATATATACTGTATTTCGGATAAGTGAATGAAATTCTCTATTAGTACAATACTAGAATTAAAAATCAACAAATGCTTCTCTAAGCAGAAGACAATAGTTTATCAGTACTCACAGCTGGTCTGTGAACTAGACTTATCCTTCCAGACATCGTTTAGCTGCCTGTATTCATGTTGGGCCAGTTCTAATCTCTGTTGTTTTACTTGGTAAATTTCCTTCTGGGCAGTTAGTGCATCTTGTGCTACGATTAGATAGTCTTTCAACATGCGCTCCTGTTCTCTACGCCACTGAGCCCGAGGATCTTCTACCTGTGTTGTTTCTGAAATATAGTAATCCACAAAATTGCGTTTACATCCATTTTTAAAAACAAAAATGAAGACAATCTGCTCAAAAGTTTTCAATGGTGCAGCTGCTTGATTATGCCACAGTCTGGTGATGGAATTTGATGAAATAAGTTACAAATGGAGTTTCGTTTGCAGTTTTTGATTGATTGAGAACTCAGACATGAAGCAACATAATTAAGTAACTGAAATGCTTACGTGTATTGTGATCAATGTAATAGATTCCGACTTGTGCATCAAATGCTTCTTCCCAACCCAAAGGCAACTCATCTCCTACACAATCGCCAAAGGAGAGGGGTTTGGTCCATCTATAAAACAGAGGGAAAAAAAATCAGCTTCCTAGTTACCAACAGTTAGTTAATACCAGTTTTAGAGCAACTTGTTGCAAAAACAATTTCTGTCCAATTTATCAAATGGTCTAAGTTATCCAAAAAAGCTAAGGGCTACTTGAAGAACAATAATATGTATGCATATAGTGTAACAATCTCACGTCGGAGCCCCATAATTTGATGGCTGTTCTTAGGCCAGAATTCCGAGAGGCTCTGTGTCCATGATGACACGTAAGAATTACCAAGACAAGGGCAGCCTCAAATAGTTTTCGACATCAGTCTGGAACAAAAGGAGTAAGCCTCCCAATCAAACTGAAAATCAAACAGCAACATCCTAAAAGTGCAACAAGGGCACAAGTGCTACAAAGTGCTTTGCTTAGGAGTTTGATATCAAGCCCAAGTCCTGGTAGACGTCCACCCAGGGTCGTTGTACGTGGTGCAGCCAATTGAAAGAGATTTGGTCTCCACTGAAAGCTAGCAAATATCGGATGCAGACAGAAAACTCAAGGACAGGAAAACTTGAACCAATGGCTCATTCAAAACTCCATGGCATTTTGTTTTGCTGGCTGCAGAACATTCTTGGTGGCCTTTTAAAAAATATGTTCACAGGACTGGCATCACTGGCTATGTCAGCATTTATTGCCCATTCCTAGCTGCCCTTGAGAAGGTGGTAGTGAGCTGCTTTTCTGAACCATTACAGTCCATGGGGTAGGTACCTGCCACAATCCAGTGAAGAATGAAGTTCCATGATTTTAAACCAGCAGCGGTTACGTAGCTCTGACACATCCAGGCAAGTGGAGAATATTCTATCACTCCAGGCCTGTGCCTTGTAGATGGTGGACAGGCTTTGGACAGTGAGGTGGTGAGTTATTTACCACAGAATTCCCAGTTTCTGACCTGCCCTTGTAGCTTAAAAAGCTATTACAGCTATAGCTTTTCCCAGTTCTGAGGAAAGGTCTTTTTTCTACTTTTCTCTCTTCACAAGGTGTTACCTGCTGACCAACATTTTCTGTTGTAGCATTTCATGTAGCATTTCTGTTTGCCTGAAGATAAAGTGATTATTTGCTCCAGGGCACACACATGTCATTTGTTTAAGTCCAGAGAGCTTGAATGTGGGTTATCAAAAGTCAAACTAAGCAGAAGCAATTCAATGTAAGATTTAACCAGCTAAAACCAAAGAGATTTTCCAGAGTTCTCTACTCCTTGCTGATATAAAATCTGATGAAATATGGCCTTCAAGGTTAACTGGAGCCAACTGGATAAGAAACCTAACTACCAATTACAAGCTTCCTTAATGAGCCAGTTGGTGGTTGACCATCAGAGTGCTCTGGAATACTGTAGATCTTTCCGACTTGGGTGTTAGATTAACAAATTAACATATTGCCACTGCTTATATTAATCTCATATTTTTAGTCTCAATAAATACATGGTGATTCTTAAGTTTTCCCCTCACTCACATCAAATGTATACATATTTAACTAAACTTTAGGCATGCAGCTCATTGCCGCTACTCCTAGAATTAGCCTCGATAGGGGCATGAACGGACCAGCAAACATTTGTTTTAAGACAGCAAAGACCGATACATACCAAGGTAATTATGCAATTTAAATGCTATTTCTATTAACAAAACAGTATTCATTTTACAAAAGCTGCTTGGCACAACTGTAGAAAAACTTTTTTAGGCATTGCACTAATTAATATTGGATGCTGTGTTAAACGTTCATAGCACTAAGTATCCAGTCGAGCATTTATCAGTTTTATAAATGTCTCTGCATCATTTTCATTTTTTTTTTGTTATTGTAGATCTGTATTATTTCTTAAAAGACACAATTCAACAGCTTTACATAGGTAGCGGCAGCCGGGGTGCAGAGATGCCTATCAACCCTATTACAGTAGAACATGAGTAAGTGGAAAGAGGTCAGAAAAGTTGTGCTTTTTACTAAAAATAGTTTCATTAAACTAGGGAATGTTACTAATCTGTGCATTGTCCTCTAAGTAACTGCAAAATGATTTCAAAAAGAGTTTATAGTAAAGAAATGATTAATTAAGAAATAACTTCTATTTGTCTAGAGTACACAGAAAATAAATATCAAGTTTTAAAGAGCACTTACAGCAAAAGATACACCATTATAACGCCATAAAACAATTAAAACGTGCACTCCAACTTCAATCTGTACAAGCACAGAGTTTCGTCCTAATAATCCTAGGCGGTGGCATGTAGGGACAGACAGATATGGAGACATGTCGACACAGAAATATTCAGATGTCTTGTCTTAATAACACATCGCCATCACCATTTAACTTCAAGTAGACATGTGTTTAATTTAGAAGTCTAAATGGAGTGTGAGTCACGTTCAATCACAGAACCATAAATGAGAATGCGGTTTGCATCTAAAATTGCAAAAAGTGAATAAAAGCAATACTTTCTTCTGAAAAAATAGCACAACATTCATGCAATTTAACTTGAAGTACTTGAGTAAAACAGATTAGGACAAACATATTTTAATACGTCATTTTTCGCTTTCCAGCAATTTGAATGAAGCAATATAAAGCACAGAAGACACTTTGTGCTCAAAACAAATTTGACTTTCTAGATTATTTGAATTAAGAGACAAGAGATTACGAATTAAAAGGTGGCCACATTGCAAATGGTCTATGGCAGGCAGAAGTGATGAAATGTTTCATTTATAAGGGCTTCATGACCAAACTGCATTACTGTGACTAAAGGAAGCAACAACTACCTTACTTTAGCACATATTACTACATAAAATCATTCCAATACACTGTGCATTACAGAAGGAAAACAGTTGATGCTGAGCAGAAGGGAAATGGAAAGCAAATAAGGATAAAGTGGGAGACCAAAGATCAGTCTTCCTAATAATTAACTGGAGGAAACTGGGGTGATCCACATGGTGTAACAAGAAAGAGGTAGAAGAGTAGAGTGGAGACATCTAGATGGTATCAACAAGTCGATGACAGACGACCTGAGGATGATGTCACTAAGTAACACATCATAGAATACTATGAGTTGAAGGGGTTAATACAAAATGCTTTCTGTGCTATTTTGTTTATGTTACTGGGACAATCAGTGTTTGATCTTTGCAGGTATTCTCAAGTAGCCAAATGGGGACAAGAAGGATTGGCATTACCAGATACTCTGGTTATGTTCAGATGTGGATACGAAATAAGAGAAACCACAGCTATACAACAGAAGATATTAAAGGAAAATTGCATAAGAACATAAATAAAAACAAAGTAGGTCATTTGGCTCCTTGAGACTGCTCACCCAATTTAATAAAGTCCTGGATGATCTGACTATTGCTTTAACGCCACTTCACTGCCACGTCCCAGAATACTTGACTCCAAAATCCATTTATCTCAGCAATAAATGCACACAATGACCCAGCCACCACTATACTCTAGGGAAGAGAACTTTAAAGATTGACAACCCTCAGACAGAACAATTTCCTCATCATCTCAGTCTTAAAAGAGCGACCCCTTATTCTGAAACTGAGTTCTCAAATTCTAGATTCCTCCATGACAAGAAACATCCTCCCCAACATCTAGCCCATTAAGCACCTGAGAATTTTATATGCCTAAGTAAGATCACCTCTCATTCTACTCAAGTCCAATGAAAACAGGCTCAAACTTTCCTCATAAGACGTTACCTTCATCTTAGAATCAATACAATGAGCCTTTCTGAACTGCCTTCAAAGAAAATTTCCTCATTTAATAAAGAGGACTAAAAATGTAAACAGAACTATAGATGTGATCTAAACCAACTCCCCGAACAGTTGTAGCAACAGCTGATATCATTAAAATCCTATTCACCTCACGATAAAGGCCTACATCCATTTGCCTTCCTAATTAATTGTTGTACCTGCATACTGTTTGTGATTCTCACACAAGAACACAGATTTCCTCTGCACTGAATCAAGTGCAATCTCTCTTCATTGTTATGGACCAGACCAGACCACCAAAGTATATTACGGAGAGAGTCTAGGCCCTAACTTTTGCATTCTTTTCTTAAAAGAAGGTAAGTGTAAGGTGCTGTGGTCCAGATATGATTTGATTAGTCCACCACTAATCTGTAATCAAAACAAATTTTATTCTTACAGCATATTTAAAATGCAAAAGATGAATTGCCGTAACTGTACTTTACTGAAATATTTAACAAGATTATGTATTATTCAACCACTAATCATCAACTGTTCCAATATAGGCAGCATTTCATAAACACACCCTTTGGTAAAAATGCAATTCAGCAAAACAGTTCTCACATGCTGTCTCTCTCCAGTCCAGAAGAAAGAAACAATCTGTCCCTATTGATTTTTAAGGGGAGGCCTCACTGTTTAAGACTCTAGCAGCAGAGAATTCAAGCCTTTGGCTTTAACAGCTAGCAGAAACCTTCTCAATTGACTGAAAGCAAAACTAAAAGCCTTCCTGGGTATTTGTGAGTCCAGACCCTGCTCATTCATGATTCTTTTGTCTCATTTTAAAATAAACCCCCAAAGAAAAGGCAAAAACTGTTTACCAACTGCCAGTCTGAAGGAGACATTTCAGCACCATAGTGACAACACCCCTCTGAAAGAGAAACAGACAGAACACATCTCGTAAAGGCACAGTACCATCACACCATTTAAATAATACCAACTTTCCTGTACTTCTGGCTGATGCAGACAACTTCGCATTTTCCCCCCACTGTATTCCAGCTACCAAATTTTGCCAACTCAGGGAATCTATCTGTACCACTTTGTATATTGTTCCTCCACACAATTTGTTTCCCTTTCTAACTTTGTATTGTAGCCATGTTTGTTGACAGACAGTACAGTCCCTTCATCTAAGTAATTAATTTAGACTGTAAATAGTTGAGGTCCCAGCATTGATCCCTATGGCACACCACTGGGTACGGTTTGCCAATCTGAAATGACAAAGTTTGATTCCTGTTCATTAGTCAATCTTCTATCCATGCTAACATT